CCGAGATAGGGCAGCCATCGCCGCTGAAACACACAGCAACTTTCAAACAGCTGTAAAAATGGATAACTATGTTCATCTAATGGAAAACACATCATGACTTCGCAGAGGCGTTGATCAAGCAAACAGCGAACGCTAGATAATGTGCTGCCATCTGCGAGGCATTGTGAAACTCTTTATGACCATTCGAGATGGCGAGCGCGCGGCGTGTATTTTGGAGGCCATGCAACTCTTGCTTTGGATGAAAAACATGTGTGTACTAGTCGCGCGCGCTCGCACGCGCGTGGGTGTGTCTGTATACCATCCGTGAGACATTGCGAAAAACGTGTCTCGACTACAGCAGAGCGAAGTGGCCACACTGCACAGTCACTGCATTATTATAGATACGTCGCGCGTGTTTGTGGGCATGTGTTTGCGTGCGTGCGTGTGTATGTACCAGAAAATAATAATAAGTATGCACTAAGCGGTCGAAGGGCGCACTATAGGGGCCGGATTTCGCTATCGCGTTCAAATATTAAAGGCGAAGCTAGGGGTCCCCCAATATAACGCAACACGGGCCTCCCACATGTGTGTTCGTGGACGTATGTCCTCTTTCGGACAGGTTCTTTCGTTCCTCCTGCAGCATAGAAATTTACACTCACGAAGGCCGCAAGGGTGCGCACGCAGCACTCTCGTGCTGCGCATTTCGCTGCTATCAAATATTGCAGATAAATATAAGAACAGGTGGTCGCCAGGGGCGCTCGCTTCATGGCGGAAACGCGGCTATGATTTGGATACATCGTGAGTGCGGTGAAATTGAATGCGAGACATCGTAGCCTCGTGGTGATATCACTTTTACTTCTGCGCGTGTGTATGCATAGTCTGCGCGATAAAGCTGATAGATGAGACGTGCCGCTCTACGTAAGTACTGCTCCTCGGCAAGAGCAAACGTGGTGGGCGTACCCGATCTCCGCCGCGGGCGTCTGTCAACCAAACTGATTGACACGTGAGCTCGGATGCAAACTCGTTGATTCTGAGAAGGCCCGAGTTGATCTCGGGACTGTCATGGTGTCGACATGACTGTAAGCGTTCGATGCGGTGACCGCTAAGTGGCAGCTTCCTGTCACATAAAATAATTTGGTGAGCCTATACACTACTTGTGCAAGGCTGGAGCCTTTAAGAGCTTGTGACGACCTAGCTTCTTGCAGCTCTTCATGTTTGTCATGCACTCATGTGCTTGGTCGGCTTCGAATTGAAGACCACATCAGCTCTGTCTTAACTTTGATTGTACTGGTTGACTAAAGCTTGACGAACATTACACTGAGCTGTTTTGTCTTCCTTGATAAGGTTAAAATTAAAAAAAGTAATTATCTTGGGCGCAACTTGCATGGCCATAACCAATAAGGAGCTACTAAACATAAACCTGATTAGCACGATACTAACTGTCATCATATTAGTACGGGAGCATGGTTTTACTTAGCAGGCTCATTAATAATATAGCGTTAGTTATCAAGGTTGAGGTATCTCATCAACTAGCATGCTTTAGTTAGCCCAGTACAAGTTTTAGTAGACTTCATTAGCATGGTCTTCCTGATATGTGGCCTAATTACCTCAGCCTTACCATGACTTGGCATAATTAGCTTGATCATAGCACGACCTGGCCTAAACTAGCGAAGTACACCATCCAGCCAAACAGCTCATTAGCTGGCCGCACAGGCTCAAGGGCTAGTAAATGATTACAACAAAGACCATGGTGATTAACACGTGGCGTCGGATTTAGCTGCGGTTGCGGTGTTGTAAGACGCTCGGCCGGTCACTCATCTCAGAGGCCACCGTGCTGATTGTTATAAAACAGGCTTAGTGCAGAAAATAAATCCTTCGAAAGAAATTTAAACAGCCTGTGCTTCTAAAACATGCCATCACAAAAATTTCACACCTTCATTGGATGGGTGCACTTCAGCACTCAGTGGAACGACAAACAAATGAAAGAAAATGCCTCTGGTTTGAAAACACCGCCCACCTTAGTAGACCGTCCTTGACGCTATGACCGATTCTATCGTAGTCAATGAAACGCAGCGTGCTGAGGGGTGGATTTGACTTTTTCGTCCTGTTGGCTTGTTCATAAGGGGGTGTCGCCAGAGCCCGGAAAGATCCCGATGTTCGTGAAACTTGGGTGGAACTCGGCCGATCCTGGTTAGGACCCCTGAACTTCGCTTGGTCCTGAAAAACGGGTCAGACCCCCCCCCCCCCCTAAAGAGGAGTCTACCACAGTTGCTGGCCGCGCCCACGCCGCAACTGGAAGACCATGGCCCTCCGCGAGTTCGCAAGCGTCGTGGACGGCCGAGTAATGGACTGAGAGCTCGGAGCTTTTAAGCAGAAGCGGGGCCAGATGGTACAAAACTTGAGGCAACGTATTAATTATTGTAATCACCCTGTAATACATTCTAGCGCACTACTCGGCCAGTAGATGCCCTCTTTGTCGTCTTCATCGTCTGCTAGCACCCGAGCACGGGCGGTTGTCTAATTAGCTATTTGGCTGGGCGGATACTTCGCTAAGTAGGCCAGGAAATGCTATGACCAAGGTAATTAAGCCAAGTTGGGGTAAGGCCGAGGTAATTAACCAAATCTTAATAATACAATGCTAATAAAGCCATGTAAAGCATGCTAGTTGACGCGATAACTAAACAACGCTAATTAATGCGATTTTATTCATGAGCAGGCTAAGTAAAACCATGCTAATCCCACCTTACTAATATGATGCCAATTTTGATCGTGCTAATAAGGATTACGTGAAGTCTTCATACTAATCATGTTCTTAACTGCACTCGAGATAATTATTGCCATTTAATTTGAAACCTTATCTATTAAGACAATACTGTTGTGTTATGTTTACAAAGCCCTAGTTAATTAGTATATTCTAAAGTAAGACAAAGCTAGTTTGGTCTTCACTTCGATGGAGATCAAGCAGATTAAGCAGACTTAAAAGGTAGAAGAAGCTATAGGTAACCAGAAGCTCCTCTATGGCTTCAGCCTTAGACAAGTAGTGCAAGGTGACCAAATTATTTATATGCGAAGAAGCTGCCGCTTAGCGTCCACCGCAACAAACGCATGGCAGTCACATTGGCACCATGACAGTCCGGAGTGAAACTGGGGTCTTCTCAAAACCAAAGAGTTTTTATCCGAGTTTACGTGTCAATCAGTTTCATTTACAGACGCTCGCGGCGGATATAGGGTCCACCGGCCACTTTTGCTCTTGCTGAGCAGCACTGCTCATGCCGCAACGCCAACGAGCGGCATGACTCACCTATCAGCTATGTCGCATAGACCATGCACGTGGCATGCATGCACAAGTAAAAGTTATATCATCACGTGGCTACTACGTCTCGCATTCATTTTCACCACACTCACGACGTGTCCACTCACAGCCATGGGGCCACCATGATGCGAGCGCCCCTGGTGACAACCTCTCTCTATGTTTACATGCAACATTTGATGGAAGCGAAACGAGCAGCACGAGAGAGCGGCGTGTACTCGCTTGTTGCCTTCGAGAGTGGAAATTTCCATGCGTCAGGTGAAGCGAAAGAACCTGCCCGAAAGAGGACAAACGCCCACGAACACGTCTGTGGTAGGCGCGTGTTGAGTTGGCAAAAAGATAATGCGACAACCACACCGACGTCGTTGCACTGTTGAAATGTTGACCGAGTGGCAGCAGTGAGGTGTTACGGACGTGGCGTTTCTCTGATAACCACCACGAAAGCTGCATTTGCGTTTCTTACACAATGCGCGTTCTTGTAGCCATTATTATCAGCGCTTTTATCACGCGCTCCGCACTGTCTTGCAATGGCCGCCGTAGTGCGAGCTGGGAGAAATTTCATCAGCCCGAGAAGCTCGGGCAATTTTGCATAGCAACCTTAGTTACCATTAAAAGGGTTTGCTTCTGGTCTAGTTGATGGCGCTGAGTGTCCAGTGGTTGCAACTAAATTTAAACGCAGGGCTTAAGAAAATGAACACGAAAACAGTGCTGATACTAAGAACGGTTGTTTCTTTCATTCGTCCCTGCAAACAATTGTCTCTCCTCACGGTATACGGGACATTCGAGCAGTATGCGCTCCAATGTCTCTTTGCAACACAGTTATCACAACATAGATTTGGGGTATACGTCCTATGTGGTGCATGTAACTTTTCGTGCATGTCACGTTCAGTTGAAGGCAATAGTATAGCGTCTATAGCTGGTGAGGAAACGAATGGGAAATTTCCGCCCTCACTTGCTGGAGCGACATATTAGACGCAAAGCTCGGACCTTCAAAACAGTGCCGGGTTGTCGAGACCACATCAAACGCTACCTGTCCCGAGCTGGCCTTGTCGGTGGGCTTTCATGATAGAATAACCCGCATAGAAAAAATATTCACTTACCTGACACCCTAACTGTAAATATTTTGATCAGGTTCACTTGCACATTGCATATCTGTTTATTATTTATTTCATACTTTTCTTGTCTCTATTCTGGAATTTTTTAGTCCCCTTCCCCATCCCTATAGAGTAGCGTGTCCGCGATATATAGAAAACGGCAAACATCTAACTTTTTCTAATAAAGAGTATATCTCTCTTCTTTCTTTCGGCCAAATTTAGCTGCAACCACGCCACTCAACGTCTAGTTACCGAAATATCATGCTCCAACTACTGCGCCATCATAATCAAGGAGAAAATGACACTTTTAAATGTCTCGCGCTTAAGCGGGCACGTTATTCTTGACGCTAGACTTACTTCCCCAATGCTGATAATTTCCCTGAACAACCGTCATCGCACAAGCAAGCGCGTTGAGGCGCTTAACAAATTTTCCGCAACTCTGACGGGGTGTCCTCGAGTAGCCGTCACGCTATTCGTATTAATAAAGATACAGAACACCTCTATATTTCTGTTGTAGCTCTTTTTCTCTCCTTGAACGAGAGTATAGATTTCGTCAACAGACACTGAATCTTACAAATGTTGTGTCTTGCTCTTTTTTTTCTTTTATGCTCTGGCAGCGCCCAAAAGAGTCCGTGCCGCGTCAAGCCAGAGAAGTCCTGTGTGCAGCTGTTCGAGATCCGAATGCTGGCGCTGTATGACGAAGGCACGAGGAAACTCCATAGTGGGGAGTTTCGAGTGCCTACCGGATGCATATGCGGCGACGATGAGCGCCCCTGAGTGGCCCTATTCCCACCCTCATCTGACAACTTGTTCCAATTACGGATACGTAGGATGCATGAGCGCATTCTCATTCACAACTTGCAATCAAGTATTAACGCGAGAAATCTCTACCACAACTTTAACGATTACTTTTTTACTATTCGTCTCACGCAGCAAGCAGCGGTATTTTACGGAAAGTGGCTCATCACAAATACATATCCTATAAGATGTAAGGCAGGAAAAATTTAGTGCTGCGGGCTCAGGTAAAAAAATTTTTGAAACATTCTACCCACGCACTGGGGCCATCGCGAGGTGGTGCTTACAGCATTGTGCAGCCCAATTTAATATAGGCGCCAGGCGCTCGTTCAAATCCTGGGCACAGTGACCGCGTTTCCAGCATGAAAAAAAAAAAAGCACAAACGCCCATGCGCTCAGACCTATAGGCTCATGTATATGGACTCCAGGTGATGACAATTAATCTGTCATTCTCTCATTAAGGCGTGCCTCGTAATCATATCGGAGTTTCGGCACGTTCATAATGCTCCCAAGTTTCGAACAAATGTTTAAGTGGGTCACGCACTCCATATACTATTGACAATGTAGTATTCTGCTTACGTTTATGAAATAAACAAGCACATTTTGTTGCATGACACATATTTTATACGGACTCAATGGCCACATATTTGAGTAAGTATAGTTGGCATCAAGTCAACGAGGGAGGAATGGTATAACAAGACTGGTGGAGTATAGAAGAAACCATCAGTGTACGGTGAAACCTGCAAGTTGTAGGAGACTTCTCCTTTTTGGCCCACCATAGAAAGACCAGCCTTATTTTCTATACTTCTCAAACGTAGCAGCCTTTTCCCCCAAACATTACAGCTAACAAATATTACACCGCAAGTGTAAAACATCGTATAGGAAGCATTATGTGAGTGTTTGAAATTCGCGACAGCCAGCAACGCCTGCGATTATTGTTCTGTAAGAGAAGCCAAATGTTAAGACTTGATACGGAATGTGTGACATTTTGTACAGAAAAAAAAAGCGTGTCAGTGTTAATTCATGTGGGGGTAAAAAAGAATACCTGCGGGAATCTTGGATTGACCCGGCAATTTCAACGTGCCGGTGCTTGTATACTATACATGAAGTGTAGTAATATGTCATGTTCACGGGTATCGGAAAGTATACATGTAGGATGGCTGCAGCGTACAAGTGCGATGGAAAGCGGCTTGTAGAACCCTTGAAGGAAACTGATCGCGGATTCTCATGTTCTGGGGCGAGGAATTTGTGTTGCGTAATTTTTATGATACTGGTGACGCGAAGCTGCGAATTCTAAAACCACCGAAGACGCCTTTAAGTGAGTTGGCCTATAGTGCATATCTCGTTCGCTGGAACCAAAATAACGCTTGAAAAAAAAAGACAAGCAGTTGTTTCGTGAGCGAATACAACTGATGGGATGCAAACAACTAAGCGCCTGATCTCGCTGCTGATTTCATGAAGGTGGTAGGTTGGGGAGCCGGAAGAGAGCTCGAGCCATCTGCCGCCGCGACTGCGCTCGACAGGAGCGCGCTCGGCACGCGTTCCCGATGCTGGGAGCTTCGACGGCGATGGCAGAGAGCAGACTTAGGGAGCTTAGCTATTAAAAAATCCACGCTTCTAGACGAAGTGAACGATGACGAGTGGGCCAAGCTAGGTCCTAAGATTCACAATGCCTACGTTGAAGTCGTCGACTAGTATATATAAAGGATCAACAGATGAACGTACGCATGGAGATACGGATGGACGGGTGCGTAGATGGACGGATGGACAGATGCACAGACGGACGGGCGGACAGTTTTACGGACGGGCGGATTGACAGTTGCACGGACGCTCGGCCGGATAGATGGACGGAAGGATGGATGGACGGACGAATGCACGCACTGACGGTTGGACAAACAGATGGATGGCCGAACGGATGGACGCACGCATGAATGGACAGATGGACGGATGCACGGACAAAACACGACATTTCTTCAAACAATATGTGCGCTATGTACAGTCTGTTTCACACTTAGGGGAAATCTCCGAGTGCATGGAATTGCGATGCGGCCAGCGCTGCAGTCGGGCGCAGGCAGCATCTCGCGCATGCGCAGACGCTTAAGGAGCGTGCTAATGAACCGCATCGTCTGCGACGGTGGAGCACGCTGCCCACATTGTCGGGCAGCCTCTTGATTTCATCATTGCTGTGGGGACTAGGCTGATATTCTGTACTAAACGTTGAGCGATGCGAACCTCTCAGCTTTTATTGGAGATAATGGGGTTATACAGAGCGTAAGTTGTTTGATCTTTTGAAACGCCATGGCAAATAGTGCGTTCACGTATATGTTTTTCTTTGTGTGTTAGTCGCAGTATGCTGCTATGGGGAATACCATAATGAGCCCGTAGCCTGCGTGGTATTCATTTCACGCTAAAACGAAGACGAAGCACTTTGCATCGACTACCGTGCAACTATCCGGGTTCAACACAATAAAGCAAACGACAATGATTTGAGGAATGCTGTAGGATAAGTTGACAACCTGAACGCTCTTATTCTCGTTGATATTTCATTGCTTGAGGCAGCACTCATTCGCTGGTGCCGAAATGCACGCGCGAAGCTTCCAACTTCGCGTCATTTCTCAGTGGCGTCAATGACAGCGCTCATTTTGGACGGCCCTGAGGCGTATACTGTGACATATCGGCCCAGTTCCCGCAGCAATGATGAAATTGCCCCGGGGTCTGACAATGCTGTCAACGCGCGCCGCCGCCGTCGACGACGCGGTTCAGCCGTTCAACACAACGCCCCTCAAGCGTCCGCGCAAGCGCGAATGCCGCACTGGCCGCATCATGGCCAAATCGCAGGGCCATGCACCACGAGATTTCTTCAAAGTGTGAAACATACTGTACGTGCTGTAGTCGGTTTTGGACACAGATGCATTGAACCTGCGGTCTAGCTATATATTTAAAGACGACGCTGAGCCTCGACAAGAACGGGCGGACAATATGCAACCCTAAGGCGCCTCGCCCCTAAACCTCGATATCATCCTCGCGTGCTGTTAAGCACATCCGCATGAAGAAAGAATAATACGGTATTATTCCACGGTTACTAAATGTCAGCCAAACAGGGCCTCAGAAGCTTAAAGTCCTATAGCCGCAACGACGGTTCTCGACAATTTCAGGCAAATGATGACCTTCGGCCAGTTAAAAAAACATTCCACTCGACAGAACGCACTAGCTCAGGCTTACTTCTCTGGCTTCTAATAAACTCTCTCACTCTCTCTTTCTTTCTCTGGTTCTTGCTTTAATGTTGACAACCAAGTGTTGTCCCTAAAATGATGCATACTCATGCCTTTTAATTGTTTTGTTTCGCACATTCCGCCACGTATTTCAGCTGGTGAATAAACAATGATGTTGTATTTGACGTGAATCACGACTAGACGCAGTTGCCGCTACATTCGCACGCTTTCATTACTAAGACAATTCGTAACTTTCGACGTAACCAGCCATGCAATCAACGTTTATATTTACTCCTATCAGCGTGCTTCTGAATGCGGGAACACTCGCAATGATAACCAGCCTTGCATCAAAAAAAAAAAAACTGTATGCCCGATTTTACAACATGTCTTTCAAAGCATCATTCAATATAATTTAAGGTTTGGTCACACTGACATCAATTCCCGCGCACTGCGTGCATCCTGCAGATGATTGCATACTCGTGGTGGTAGATTACGGGTGAGTCGCATTATTTCACCGGGCAATTCATGGCTGATCTGAACTCTCCTATTGGGAACCAGCGCGAAAGTGTCCGCGGACTTGGAGCACCACCCTGTCTACAGAACTGCCGGAAACATTCGGGCGTATGAAGAAATACTAACGTTAACTATGCCACCGTGCGAGATGATCTGACGAGAAAAAAAGAGCTTCGAGACCAGCGTTATTGTTGTATTCACAAGTGGCATATCCATAAAGAGTTTTTAATAACAGAAAAAATAATCCAGAGCTTGCATATAGTTGACTCCCTCCGGCGTCGATCTCCACCAATGCACAGGGGTTGGTGCTTTGGGAATTACCACAAGTCTTAACCAAAACTTTGAAAACGTTCAAAAAGCACATGAAAACTCAGGTTGCGTAAGCATCGTGCCGTATATTGCATGCACCGTATTTATTCGATTGTAGCACGACGACGATTGTAACGCGAGGGGGGACATTTCATTACGTCCGTAGGAAGAAAAAAGTTAGAAGTTTAGTACTCGGTATGTGAGAGTCGACTTTAATAGCAAAAATCTGAAATAAACAAAAAAAAACTTGGCTAGCTCTACACTCGTATAAATACGCTATTTTATCTAACTGTCACGTGCACAAATCCAAACCGGTATGAAAATGATGAGTGCTAGAAAAATCGTGATGACACGCATGTTCCATTACTAACCATACACTGCAGGTCAACCACGGAATCACCACTGAGTCAATTAACACCAGGTTGTTCAAAGGAACTCTTTTTTTTTTAAGAATCAGGCTTAGACGATGGCCGACCGCAAGCTTACAAACGGTCTGCAGACGACGGCAAGTCGACTTCTTTAAAGCGCAACCGCTGCGACATGTTTGCATGTCCGCTAACACCACTGATCTCCACTTTACACTGGCCTTTCATGTGCAGGGTGCTCTATGCATTCATTTCACGATTCACCGTCAGCTTCAAAAACTTAGCTTAAAAACTGCGATGCAATTACTTTGTGGGTTAATTCTAGCCGTTCAACACACCACAAAAGTGTAGCGAAACAGCTTCTGTAGTATAAAAGGCAATAGCCGCGACTATCAACTATAGCGTAATTGTGCACATGGGCGCATAACAAGCAACTTGCACGCTACGCCGAGCTTCGCAAGCGCTATTTTAACACACTTACCTGTAAGTTACGCCGCACAATGCTTGCCACTACGTCGAAAGCTCACACTGTTTCTTCCACGTCATAGACGTACTTCACGTCGGACAGCGTCCGTCCTTTCGACAACACAGTCTCGCGAAAGTGTTCGAACGTGCACACCACATCGCTGAAACCATAGCGGAGAATAATCGCTGCTTGCCCGCTGCGTCGCAGTTTTCAGCGAAGTGTCCAAATCTTCGCTAATCTTGCGCGTTCCAAATTACCTACAACACGATGCATCATATGGGGCAAAGCCGGGGGCAATGCTGCACGGCTTTCACCACACGTTTCAGCGTGCGCGACGGGTACGAGGGCACGTTAAAGCGTGCTCGTATACAGTACACCTCGTAGCGGCTCTGTCCTGCTAGCTTGTTCTCAGCCAGCTCGCCAGGGTGGCGCATCGAGTAAATTTTAGGTAGAGTAACTGTGTATGGGCCATATATACAGTTACTCTGATGTTAGGCACGCATGGAGCAAGGGTAGTCGTGCCACCTATAGGGTGCGCTAGTTCGCCGTTCACTGAACGTGTTTCAACGGTATTGCGCGGTTGGTTTTTTTTTTCAGAGAAGAAGAAAATCATAATTAATAATTTCGATACGGTAGGTGACCATAAAGCTACACGTATATCTAATATTTTGTATGGGAGGAATTGAGCAGGGCATGTAGCACGTAGGCAAGGTAACCGCTAGTCATTAATAGAAACACATTTGATTCCGAGAG